CTCCTCTAAACTGGTAAAACAGCTGAGACACGAAGCGAAATGATGAGTGAAGTCAGTAGCTAAAACACACCAATGTACTGCAGTTTTATAGCAGCCCTGTGATTTACCGCAAAGCATTAGTCTGATTTCACAAGCAGGCATTCTGCTGGTAATTGAAGATTTTAGTGAGTTATTAATGGATCCGTTCATTAAATCAAAGACAGACAACAGGCAAACTACTGTGTTGCCAAACAAAAGGCCTACCAGCGAAGGCATGCAGAACATCTGCTTCTATGGACTTGTGCTGACCTCTACTGGCCAAAATCAAAACACCAGGAATAGTTTATTCAGGATATTCACATAACACACACCTAGCAATTTCTTTTTCAGGCTAAATCCTGCTTGCCCCTAGCAGTACATGGGTCAGTGATGTAATAATATTCTTTTTTGTTTCTACATCAGTTCTTTAACCCTTATGTTCTGTTTGGGGTCCCTGAGACCCCAGAGCCTCATTAACAGCTCATAAAATATCCTTAGCCTTTTTTAATTAGCTTGATTTTACAGAACCTGGATGCTCCAAATACCCCCTACACTGTTAGAATTAAAGGTTATGTGCAGGTACATTTTGGCTCATCAAGGTACAAACAATGTTAATGTACCCTCAAAAGTACAACAGTGGTTTTAAAGTCCAAATTGTGAACCTTGAAATAAGTTTGTTCCAGGTGAAAAGTACATATTTGTACCTTTTCATAACCTAATATTTTAAAACAGAATAGTAAAATAAAAAGCCTGGGGACGAGACGGGGTGTGTGAAGTCAGTACAACTTAGAAAATATAATTTCAGTGGATTATGGTACAGTTACGTTCCCTGACTAAAGGTACTGAGATGAACCCTTGGGGGTGCCACCCCAGTGACGAGAGGGGTTCTTCCCCAGTGACAGTTTACTACCTTTATTTCTGAGAGTGTACAGAAATTTATACATCTTAGAGACCCCAGCTAGAATACATGAGTAAAGGCAATGATTTTTCATGTGTATTTAGTTTCTGTCTAGTGCAGTCAGCAAATATGTGCTGTGTGTGATGCAAAATCCAACTATGCTTGAAAAATGCATATTTATACAGGAAAAACTCCAGGTAGCACTCCAGAGAAGAACCAGGCCATGATAGTCATCCTGAATTTAACAGACGGACAATCTAATTCCTGTGGCTAAATTCAACACTGTCAATGTACTGCAGTCTGTGAGGGGATATTTTGACTCTAAAGTCTCAAACAGGTTTAAGTCTAACGGTCAGAAACCTGTTTTTTAATTCAGACCTCAGAAAACTCTAATTCCCCATAGCTGTGCACAACATCACAGATGGTTTTAATGTTGCAAAACGCACTGTTCCTCTTCAGCTTTCCACTAAATACAGTTTAATGAAGCAGCTGGGTGAGCCTTTCAAAACCCCCATACTGCTCATATTAAAAAATGGGGAAACTCGATGTACACTGTGTCTGTGACCAAACTGTCAGAAGGACAAACTGTTCCCTGCTCTCAAATTGTGCAGTGCAATTGCTCAACACAGTCGTGACTGTACCAGCCTGACTTCTTTTAAACTAAAAACTTCTATCCTTTAACCCGAGAAGGCAGCACTCAGATTACCAATTAATCAAACTATATCCAGTACTCCTACGTATCGTCACTGTCCAAAGACAAACAAGTATCTCCAAAATGGTAACTTTACAAAAGAGGCCAAAACGTTCTTTACTTTTAATGTAAGTTAATGTAAGAGATTTTATTCCAAGCAATTCTGAAGCATTTCTATCAGTCCATTCATCATGAAATGTTCACAGTGTAAAGGACAGCTGCCATTCTCAAATAATGCAGAAGTAAAAAAAATGGAGATGTTTTTCTTTGGATGACAACAACAATATGCTACATGCTGCATATAATCTCTGTACACATTTCAGTTTCTATGTATGTCCGGCATGTTCTGCTTCTATTTTATATCCCTTTTAAGTCTATCAAACTGGGGTAGAGGTGCAACAAGGAGGCTGCAGAGAGGCACAGTGGCCTTCGACCAAAAAAGTTTAAACCACAGGTCTACAGGCCTTTACATACCAAGTGCAGTTTATTTGTACGATTCATTCAGACATCAATAAATTATTTTGAACATTTGTATAACTGATATTATTTTGCACACCAAACCTAATGTGATCTTTCACAGGCAATATGAACTCATTCGACCCATCATGGGTGTGTCTGTCATTGGCAACCATGCTGACCGATTGGCTGTGTCGCACCAACTAACTTCTGACATTTCTTAAAAAGAATTAGTTTGTCTTCTGCTTCATCACATGTGGTGCTACCTCTTAAAAGTGAGCTCAGACATACGAGCTGTGAGCAAAAGTGCTTGTAAAGTTTCTGCTCCTCTGCGCTCTTCTAGCTTTTCTAGAATGGAAAGTAGTCTCCAGCCTGTATAGTGTGTGAAAATTTCACGTTTTTGCATCATTTACTTGCTTTGTATTTGGTCTACTGTGGCCTTAAGAAAGAATGTAAGGAGTTTTGCAGGGTTTTGAAGGCCAAGAAAACACTACACAACCTTCAGATTCTCTGAATCACTGTACTGCCCACACTGCCCAACATTTATTACTTGCAATCGGCTGTTTTGTTGGCACAGGGATACATGGTACACACTCGTCTTCACTTGTCTTCACCTGGATGAATCCCCAAAAATGAGCTCCTGATCCTCAAGCTTGTTATCACCCCAAAATAAATATGACAAGTGTCTGTCATGACCTTTCCGAAATGAGCCTGAGCAACTGCTGTTGTGTTTTAAGTGCCCTCATTTCTGCATTTCTGTTATACATGTTACAAGACTGGCTCAATGGCTACTGCTTATCCCTTATTACTCATCACATATGTTATAAGATTAACTGAAAGTCTGGAGCCAAGACAGGACTTAAAACACTATGTTTGGTCTGAAAAAGTGAATGGAGTGTACCTCAAAATGCAAACTCAAATTTGACCTTATGGACATTGCTGTACCTTTGAGGGTATATTTACATTGTTTGTACCTGGAAAGCAAAGATGTACTTGTGTATTGTCCCTTTTCTCTGACAGTGTACTGTACTGAGAATTATAAACGCTGTCAGGTGGTCTGTGACAGCACAAAGAAGTGGGTAAATCATGTCTCTGAACTGCTTTCATGAGTGGTTGTAGCATGTGTGCACAGCGATTTGTCTGTGACAGCACCTCCTACCAAACCCATCCTCCCTCTCTCCCCCGTTCAAATTCTTACTCATTACTGCATCTATTTTATAGATGGTTAACCAAAAATGTAAACTTTGTTGCCAACATTGCGTTAAGTTGTGGTACCAGTATATCACTAAACCATGCATTTCAGATCTCTTGCCATTAATGTTGTGTTTTTAAGCATTAGGCCAGTATGACATAAAACAAAATAAATCAAAACTGTTGAAAGTGGTGTGCTTTGATCATATGTTTAGTGGTAACAAAATAACATTAGACAGTTAAGAGCAATGTCAAGTGGAGTAACTGGTTTTAGCCAGTTAGTATAACAAGACTATAACCAGAACTAATTATTTTTCAGAAAATGAATATGAAAATGAATGAATATAGAGGTTTTCAAAATATTTTTCTCTTTTTGAAAAGACAAAACACACTGCACCTGAAAATTCACCTACAATATTTACAAAACTTTTAAAAAAATCAAATCTTTTGTGCAGATAAATAAATAAATAAATACATCAGTGCTGTTTGTCCTAGACAAATTGATGATTATGTCCTTTCAAAAATACATTTTCTTGCTCTTTTATTAGACATTTTAAAGAGGATTTTCACATATTTTTCATAAATTCTGCCAAAGCCATTCAGAGTGTTCTGAGGTGAAATTCTCCAAACAAACTTACCGAGTCAAGGTGGTGTGATAGGAGCCGGACATGTGAAACATGTAATGCTTATAAAAGCGTCTTCACAGAACGTTATATGAAATAGTTATAAATGTTCTGCCTGCCTGAGACATTGTTTTATGATAGCTCTGAGAAAAGGCTTTGGCCTAAAAATGTAATTATTTAAATACATTCAAGGCAGAGAGGAACCCTCAGGGCTTTTATGGAAAAATAGTATGCAAATAGTTTTTGTTTGTTTTTTTTTCAGATTTACCACTGTTTTACAATCATCAACACTACATATGCAAATTCTTAGGTTCACTGGTGGTTTTGGATAGTAAATAAAATGGCTCTATTTGTGTTGCAGACATCAAGCCTCCTGGTTCCTATCAGCACCACTGTAAAGAAACCAGAGTCAGTAAGTTTATCTATTGTTTACCCTTTCACATCAGACCACTCTGAATGACTTTATTTACATTTCAAAACTGAATTATGCAAAAATATTTAAAATTGGTTAAGTCTTACTAAATATTTTTTAAACCATTTTAATTTGTCACTGACCCATATAAGAACTCAGGATTGTATTGCACACCTGGAATCAAGTATAGCTCCATTTCCAAAAAATTGGGATGCTCTGCAAAATGTAAATAAAAACAAAATGCAATGATGTGTAAATCATTTAAACCTTATATTTCATTGAAAATAGTACAAAGGCAACATATCAAATGTTGAAACTGAGAAATTGTATAGTTTTTTGAAAAATATATGCCCATTTTGAATTTGATGCCAACACGTTGCAAAAAAGTTGGGACAGGGGCAACAAAAGGCTGGTAAAGTTGTGTAATGCTAAAAAAACACCTGGTGGTTTATGGCATTAGGTCAGTAACATGACTGGGTATAAAAAAGCATTTCAGAGAGGCTGAGTCTTTCAGAAGTAAAGATGAGGAGGGGTTCACCACTCTGTGAAAGACTGCATGATCAAATAGTGCAACAATTCAAAAATAATGTTTCTCAATGTAAAATAGCAAAGAACTTTTGCTTTCATCATCTACGGTACATAATAACATTAAAAGATTCAGAGAATCTGGACAAGGCCAAAAACCAGTATTTGCTGGCTGTGATCTTTGGG